GGTTAATGTACTTATTTGGTACACCTTTCAATGACAGACACTGCCACAGAACCTCACGATCCACAGAGTCAAATGCCGCCTTAAGGTCCAGGAAGACAACTATTGTAGGACGCCTAAATGTGTGTCTGTGTTCCAGGACCTGTCGTAGTGTGAAGACGTGGTCTATACAGTCACGTCCAGGTCGAAAACCAGCCTGGTTTTCTCGAGTCTGCTCTTCACGAGCTTTCGTTAAGCGTCGAAGTATTACTGAGGCCAATATTTTAGATACTATATTAGTTAGACTTATTCCTCTGTGATTGTCACAAGAAGACTTTTGTCCTTTCTTATAGATTGGGACAATCAGTGATTGAGACCAGTCGGATGGGATTGCGTCCAGTTCCCAGATTCTACCTAAGATCTCAGTCAATCTAGCTGCTAAAACTGGACCACTATCCTTAAATATCTCAGGGGTCAGTCTATCAGGACCTGCAGCTCGTCCTTGCTTCAGATTTCCTAACGCTTTTTCAGCTTCATTAAGACTAGGGGGACTTACGTCGATTTGCCATTCAGGATGACTGGAGATCGTGGGTAACTGAAGAGTGGCTCGAGGCCAGTTGAACTGATCCCTAAAGTGTTCTGCCCATCGATCCAGTCTCCTGGATTGAGAATAAATAATAGTCCCGTCATTTTCTGAGATAGTCTCACTTACACTAGGATTCCTAATACCAGTTTCCTTGATAAGTCGGAAAAGTTGTCTACTGTTGCCGATCGCCGCTGCCTTTTCCATCGCTTTTGCTTTCGCCACCCACCACTGTTCGCGATCGTTACGTAGGCTTTTCATAAGTCTGCGCCTAAGTTGACTTCGTTCTTCATCATGTTCAGAGCCAGGTGGGATGAGTTTTCGGGCATCCATCAGATCGGTGGATGCTACTGAGATCCACGGTTTCATTCTAGCCTTATGGTCAACCTTACTACAGATATCACTGCTGTTTCCACAGCCTTTTTGATATCATTCCATCCTGCTTCCGGATGGGAATCGCTTAAATGGTACCCTAACTGTCTTTCTAGTTGTTCCTGAAATATATTTTTCGCCTTATTATCATTAAGTAAAACCCTAAGAGGCTTTCTTACGGTGTCTTTCCTACGCCCAGTAAGCTTCAAACGAATACGCGCTCGCACTAGGGCATGATCTGAATCTAGACATGTGCTCCAGAACGAGCGACAGTCTTCTATCGAACCCCTCCATCGGTGGCTGATGGCGATGTGATCTAGTTGAGTCCAACGTTGAGACGACTTTGGAGGTCGCCAGGTCAACAGATGCTTTTCCTTATGCCTAAAGTTAGTGTTTGCTAAGAATAGGCGGTTGTCTGAGCATGCTTGCAACAGACGGTCACCATTGTCTGTTCTCTGAGCCGCAACACCATAACATCCACCTAGGTGTCTCTCCTGCTCACTTAGTCTACCTACTTGAGCATTAAAGTCACCAGCCATTATTACTATATCAGAGCGCCTAGCTTTTTGGAGGAGGTCCGAAAGCTTTCTGTAAAACTCATCCTTAACCTCGTCTGAAGTGCATTCAGTGGGGGCATAGGCAGATACGACGAAGAGGCAACGGCGATTGTCCCTATCTTTCCGAGTCCTTACTGTCCCGTTTAGTCGGACAGCGCACAAGCGACTATAGTAGACTAGTTGGGATCCAGTCAAGGAGAGATTGTTCTGCCCTACGACTCAATGCTATGCCTACGCCAGCAAGACCGCGGGAAGCAGCATCAGGGCTACCGGATACACGAAGAGTAAATCGAGCTGCTTCTTTATCTTGACATGGTGAGGTAAAATGAGTGATGCTACTCGGATCCTGTATGCGCGTTTCCGAGACGCAGCACACATCGATGGAACGAGATTCTAAAGTCCTAGCTAATGATGCCTGTTGCCCTATTTGACACAATGTCCGTAAATTGAATGCTCCAACATGTAGTTTGGAACGGGGTTTAAGGAGACCAGGAACGACGTTTCGCGAACTCGTATCGTCTGCATTAGCTGTACACTGTGATGAATGAATGTGAGAAGAGTTAGTCGTGGAGATAAGAGAGGTACTAGGGGGTGTAGGAAGGATTTGATTTTGACCAATTCGGTCTCGCGTGCTGTTATGGGTATGAGGGCGGTTGTCACTTCCCGGCTGCCCACACCGTGGAAGGTTGTTTCTTGAGGAACCTGAAAAGGAAGATAGATTAGTGTTGGTGCGTGACCGCAGAGCCCAAGGGACAACTGCTTGAGGCCGGTCACGCACGGCCTTTTTATGAAATGTTTTTTGAGGATTAGCTCCGTTCTTAAAGGCCCTTAGTGGGCACCCTTACCCAAGGAGACGGAAATCCGTGAGTTAGGGGAGGTGTGACAGTTTTAGGGCCGACCTTTTCTAACCCTTCCTTCCTTGTGAGAAGGCAGCATCGCTGCAGATGCTGGTTGTCCCAGAGAAACACCTTACTGCTGTCACACCCCTCCATCACAGTCAGCAGTACAACTTCGCCCTCAGACCTTGGCTAGCTGCTGCTTTTAGTCTCATCGTTCTCCAATCGACCTATCTGGCATGGTAGAACCTTGAGGAACATGTGTTCCAGCCAGTATAGCTCGGTCGGGTCATCACGATAGGCAAGCCCGACTACCACGTCAAGGTAGCAGCTACGGTCGGGACAATACCGAAGGTCCTGTGTTCAAATCATGCGGGGTGCAGGAGTCGTGGATGCGCACTGAGGAGGAGTCCCATACCAAGACGAAACGGCCGTCCAGTGCTTCCAGGTTTCTAATGGTGGTCCAACATTGATCGATTCATGGTTTCAAAAATGTCTAACTTAACAATCTTCACAACCCCGTAATGCAAATCAAATAGAAGTTCAAATAGACGTAGGGTGATAATTGTAAATGCAGGAGAGAGAAAACTAAAGTAATATGAAAAGAATAAGAAGTGGTAGGAAAATTGTCACATTACCCTAGGCTTGAAGATAACCAGGGTAAATTCAAGGTTGTGACAAATTGTTTCTGCACACATAAGGGGAGTTCTAATTTTCTAATAGCCAAAAACTCCATCAACCTCAAAATTCGTCCTTCAACATTTATATACAATCTTGTGAAGGCTGTCTTGATGTCAATCTTATGCCCTGTTTCAATTGTGTTTTGCGATCGATGAACATGGTTTTCTATTTCCAACGCTAATCGGCTCATCTGACATTAACTGCTTTTGAGGCCACTTAGGTACATGTTCCATAACCCTTGAATGCAAAGTCCGATTACTCCTCCCTATGTATGTGTGTCCACATAAACATGTAAATTGATAAATACAATGGGATGTGATGTAATCATTAGAGCAACGTTTAGGTCTATGTTAAATCATGGGCTTGGTCTTTTCAATGACAATCAGTTTAGCGGCGTTGTATGTTTTCTCTCTGGCTGCTTTCAGTATCTGTCTTAATATTAGACCATTTGCTTCACCTCTAAATGTTAAAGTGATATAAACCTTTTTCTTCTCAACAGAATGAAAAACTTGCTTTTGTCTTAACTGGGTTCTACACCTATTGATGAATTTTAGCGTATAGCCGTTTGAAATCAATGTTCCAGTTAAGAATTTTGCATCATATTCAAATGTATCCGTGGTGCGAATCCTTTGAGCTCTATTGAAGAGGTATTTTATCAAACCTCGCTTATATTGCAGTGGACAAACAATGCTGAAATTTAGATACTGTTTATGTTTTTTTGCATTCGGAAATGAGCATAATTTATGGGTACGTAGATGCTTGATTTCAACCACCATAAATTGTGAAAGATTTTATTTTTGTTCACTGCTAAGAGATAAATAATCAGGACACTGTCGTCTTAATTTGGCGAATTCTATTAGTAGAATAAAATCTATTTATAAGTTGACTACTTTAATATGTATTAAGTAGTAACCAGAAATTAGAGGAAAATGTTAGTAAGCACTTTAATGCTGATCAATAAGAGACAATAAGGAAATATGTCAAATTAAACAGTGTTAACAACGAATGTATATATCTATGGAGTCAGAATATCTTTAATTTTATTGTTGAAATGGTCTCTTAAAAAACTGTGGTGTTTATTGATACTAATTATAACAATTTTATTTACTGGAAACTTGGCAAGTAATGAGACGGAGACGTAATTTTATATTGAAATAACCTTACAAAAAAACTAGTTTGTTGTTGTTCATGGCAGTAAAATATAAGTAAAGAGCATTTCACTAACTGACTTTTTTTACTTTTTGTTACTACTTTATCAAACTATGTTCATACTAAAGATGTTTTCTTAATTAGCCTTTGAATGATGGGATCCTAAATCTATTCAGATTATATTGACAACATTAAAGTGAGTATAAACTAAGTGAAAGTCCTTAAAAAATATATTTACCTTGAACTGGATTTTATTTCCTTGAATTTGTGGATTTTCATACTTCAGAGCAACAGGGTATCATATTTATCAGTCGCAGATCTAGATTCTAATACGATTTTTGGTATCATCTTAAACACGAGGCTCAAAAAAAAGTATGTTACTGAAGGGTTGAAGTTAATTGTATTAGATGTGTAATATGGTTACACATATTTCTCCCTAATCTTGATATTCAATATCAACTAATTGAAAGGTAGATTTGATGAATATTCATAACTCTCGAAAGTCAGTTTTGAAAGTTATGAACTTCTGATCCAAGATCTACAAAGTAATCATGATAAGTATTAAGCGAACCAGTATCGAGCAGTCATTTCGAGTCAAGTACCTATAAACGTATTTCCCCAAAACAACGGAATTTTTCAGTAATAATCAAGAGTTTTAAATAAAATACAGAAGTGCCGTTCAAAAAATTACTAGAACATTGTATGCTGCATTTATATTGAAGTTTTATTCATCAGTATACCAAGTTCATTTTTTATTAAATGATTTAAGAAAATCAGCTATCGCTAAGCACTGCGATGAATATTTTTTTTGAAATTCTTTATATCACTACTTGTAAAAATATTGAGTAGTAAAAAAAATAATTTATTTCAAAAGTTACCAAATATAACATGAATTTTTCTCGTTCAAGTGATGGGGTAGATTTTTGTTATATATATATATATGACTTTAAAACAAGTTAACATTTTTTCTAACCGTAAGCCAACACGTCGAATAATATTTTATCAGTATTGTCATCTCACTGTATAAACTTGATCATAGTGAAATTGCGAATGCTACAACAATACAATAAACATGATTGTTCTCCCATTTCACTTTACAGTTACCTAGATTAGAAAAAATCAGAAAGAAAAAAACTTACTATAGTTTTAAGATTAATAATTCAGTTATAAAAAAATAAAATATATATTGTGCAGTGTGAGTGTGTACAAATGTATCGAGGCGACAGAGCTTGTCCCAGCTTTTGGACAACTTTACTAAACCATTCTTCTCGAGTCATTGCTCAAACATCTTTCGATCTTGTTTATTATTCGCCTAAAACCCTGGTTTTTTCTACTTGAATGCATATATGTATTGCTTACTCCACTCATTATACGCCTAGCCTATTTTGTCTGGCTATAAATAATTAGTCATGCTTCATTGCATTGAGTTGATTTACTCGCCTATTCGATTTCGCTTCGCTCCGCATGTACGCTTTTTATTCTCATGTCTGTCTTCAAGAATTTGTATTTGGCTTATTATACCCCCGTCTCACAAACGGAGTTCACTTTTGTAAAATATACAGAAATTGAAGGGAAGATGTTTTTCATTACATACTGCATCATTCGTCCGAATCGGAGTTACACAACGGGGTACTAAACATCATTAACTGAATAACACATATAATTAGAAGAGAAAAAATCCAACATAACTATGACTCTCTTAAGGTAGCCAAATGCCTCGTCATCAAACTGTTTGGGTATATTATGTGACGTGCATAAATGGAGCCTTTCGGGGGTAGTGGTGGCGGCTACCTCTTCGTCGTCCCGTCAGGCAACGTGGCGTTGTTTACAGCGCTGCGGCCAAAAGCCGAACGCTTAGGATTGTACCAATCTGGAGGATTATGACTAAACGCATTTAGGTCTGAATCCCTCCCACTGAGCTTAGGGAAATTGAATTAATGATTAGAGGACCTTCCCTCTATCATTCCTGTAGTAGCAAATACCTCGAAAGAGATATAGCTTTCTAGCTTTCTTGGAGGCGGCCCCACACGACTTGTTTGGGAAAGCATCCGTAAAGATCTTGGAATATTGACGCCCACCCTATGTGGTTGTCCCAAACACTCTGCATCTCGGTGTAGTGTATCAACTGGCGTCGAGGTCCCTTAAACAAGGGTCTCCAGTTGGGTTATAGGATCATGAGTTGAAAGAATACTTGGTCGCAAATGATGTCTGCCCACTTATGTAGTGGGATTAACCCTGCTTGGCTGAGTGCATGCGCATGGTCGAGTTCATGACATCTACCCCATGGGAGGGTGTACGTTCCGGCTGACCTTGTGGGACATACTCAATCTTTAGCTTCATGTGAGGTCTTAGGGCTCCGATCGATTGTATCAGCACAAGGCAGTTGGAGGCCAGACGGTTGGAACGGCTGCTAGTTAGTGCACTGCTGGGTGGCTCGGTAATCCGTTCGGGGTGCCAGGTCCCGCTGAGTAAGCCTGCCTTGCCGCCCATGCGGATTGGGGATTGTGGGTAGCGGATTGATTGGACGTGCTGTTTGGACGTCCGACTTGTTTGCTGGTCAATCTAGACAAAATGTGCGTTCCCGTATGGGGCAGGGGTGATCACTAAACGACTACCGTGAGAATCCTTGTATTGCTTAAAAAGCAGCGGAGTGCTTTTGCAGCAGACTTGTTGGTTAACCAAGATATAATTGGAAGAGAAAAAGTCCAACACAATACAATACTCCGTACAATTTCAGCAAACTATATTATGGTTTACAGTCAGTGATTTTGAACAAGATTGTTTCTTCTTATATACAATGGCTATTGAAATCATTATCTATTAGAATTAACCAAAATTCTTAACTTTTTCTGATGATAAATGATAAATGTTTGTTTTTTTTTGGTTTTTTGAAAAAACCAAATATATATATATTCATCATGGGAAAGAGATTTAGGGCTAAGGGAATTTATGATCATAATTATCAAACAACTTTAGCTAACCACAATCTAAATATCATTGTATTCAAAATCCCTATAAATCTGAAACTGATAAATTATTAAACTTCGGTAAAGACCAAAAAAAACAACCAATTCACAAACTGGTTACATTTTGTCTTATTTTCTAAGTCCTACTTAAAATAACATTAATTTATCATTTTGAATAGACTTGATAAAGGTTATGATAACTATTTTTTGTTAACAGATATTCTTCATAATTTCGGTTACTGATAAACTTTTTAGAGTAATTAAATATTCTACTAGGATGCGGTTTGTGGTGGTGTTTGATTCACTGAGCTAGTTGTTTTAGTTGTGGAGCTGTCATTGTTCTTCTGCTGAACAACATCATCAGCAGCACAAACTTCAGATAAAAGTGAAGCATTCGAAATTCTCCAGGTTTCACCTGTAGCTTGTTCTGTTAACCTCGATCTTGAATGGTTGATGTCGGTCCTTAATCTGTCGTTGTCTAGACCTTTGTTTTATTTGTATCGCCCTTTTGATCTGTTTCTGAGCTGGGGGATACAATCAAAACAAAGGTGCAAACAACGACCGATTTAAGGCCGACATCAATCAGTCAAGATCGAAGTTAACAGAACAAACTACAGGTCCAAATGTGGAGAATTTCGAATGCTTCACTTTGATCTGAAGTTTTTGCTGATGATGATGTTGTTTAGTAGGAGAACAATGAAAGCTTCACAATTAAAACAGCTAGCTCAGAGAACGAAACACCCGCACAGTCATCCACCTGAGCTACAAATTTTTTAAACCATCTCAGAATGCGGTTTTTCGAAAACCTTTCATCAATGCAAACCTTATGTTTATCCATTGTTTAAGTAAGTCACCTCGACGTCGATTGGAAAAGAATATTTTTATTCCTTATTCTGTTTAAATATGCTGACTTAAGTTGCACTAACTAGCTTAAACTAGTTCCGTCACAACATAACAATTTCCGGATGATTTTGTGTATAATTAATAATATGATTCAAGTCACTAAGTTCCCTAAACCTATTAACTATATACTCTGACTTAACATATTTGACGTTATCGAAATATCAACAGATTTTTAAAAACACACTTCATGCTTATTCCTATCTGTGCTAATTACTGCGTAGGAAAGATATTTGGGCACTAATCAAAGGCAACATCTGTTACGTAACATTTTGTCTCGTCTTACTTTACGACGATAAAGATTAGGATATTTTCGATTAGAGTTATGGAGATTAGTGCTTTTAAACATTTGAAATCATCAATCAGTCATTGTTAGACCACCGTTAGAAACCTGCAAGCGCTGGACGGACGTCTCGTTCTGGTATGGGACCCATTAGTAGTGCGCATCCACGACTCCTGTACCTTGCAGGATTTGAACCTGGGGCCTTCGGTATTGTGCGCGAACGCCTAACTTCTCGACTACTGGGTCGGCATCCAAAAATATTAGTTCTTAGGTCAAGATGAAAGTGTGACCTTATTAATTCAAAGTGTCTCAAGTATAGTGAAATAGATAATTAAGTGATTTCAGTATAGCATCAAGTATCTACGACCTTTTGATTCGAACATCATCTATTCTAGTGACTTACATTTAATAATGGGAAGTTTTCCCAAATAATGAAACATTACTTAATTACTCTTAGTTCAGTCGGTGTAAGCAAGTATTTGACTCTTGACTAAAGGTCATGTGACAACCGTAAATTATAGTTTCAAACTTTATGGAATACTGTTGAAATAAAATTTCACTAAATTAGATACATTCAATTTCAGATTACTTTAAACTTCAAATCGAATATAATCAGTTGTATACAATTCAATTTATTTTACATATGTATCTTTGCATTACGGGCTTGTGAAGATTGTTAAGTCACACAAATAAAATCATGAATCAACCGATGTTAGACTACTATTAGAAACTTGGAAACACTGAAAGATGGCCGTTTCATCTTGCAACTCGCAGGATTCGAATCCAAGAACTTCGGTCTTGCGCTCGAACGCCTAACCTCTGGGTTCGAATCTTGTGAGGTGCAGGAGTCGTGGATGCGCACTGCTGGTGAGTCCCATATCAGGACGAAACGGCTATCTTTCAGTGATTCCAAGTTTCTAATGGTGGTCTAACATTGATCAATTCATGATTTCATATATTTATCTTCCCCTATAACTATGATCTTCAAGTTTAAATCAAATGAATATATAGCTAAAATTTTGTGAAACCAAATAATATAGAACATCACTTAATTTTACATTGAATGTTGAACTTACCATCTTTCGCAGTATCCCAATAACAAGATGCAGCACTATATACACCAGATCCAGGTTTTTGAGTTATAGTACAATTGACTTTTAAAAAAAACAAAATTTACACTTTAGATTAATCAAATAGAATTACCAACATATTTAAATGGTTTGCCCAATTTCACTAAATCACTTCTACAATTATCCACAATAGTTCTAGCCCATTCTTTAGCTGATTCATTTGTGTATGAACTAGTTCCAATGATATTTTGAATACACTAGAAGAAATAAGAAAGAAGATTATTGATTGGTTGATTGATTGATTGATTGATTGATAAATACATTTTGAAACAAAAAAGCCCCAAAACTTCATTCACTTACTTTTTTAATGATATTTTCTGCTTCTTCTGGTGAAAATTTAAGCTAAAAATAAAATACAGAAATCATTGTAAGTGAAATATGTCTAAAATTATTAGGAAATACTGTGTTTCAGTGCACTCGATTTATTGTTTTAACTAATATTTAGGTTACAGAAAAATTTTATCAATATGAACTGAACAATGTTAGACAATCGTTGAAACCCTGGACGCATTGGATAGCCATTCCGTCTTAATGTGTGACTAAACAGTAGTGTGCATCCACGAACACGCACCTTGGATATTTGGTCTTGAGCGTGAACCTCCAGCTCTTAGCGGAGTTAATATCTATCATTATTTAATCCACGATATCACGTGACTTCATCCAGTGTCTTCGGTTGGTAACTGCCTTACACCTCACACTGCTGAACTCCACTGATCACGGCTTCTAACTAAAACTCCAAGCGAATTATCGGAGTGTCTAATGGTAGTTTAACATTGGTTGATCAGTGATTTGAATAAAAACTCAATGATCTCTACAACTGTATAATAACATTTACAGAAAAATATTGATTGCATCCAGTCTAATCAGAAAATAATAAAATGGCTTCACATTAGCAATTATTAATGTTAACTGAATTATATAAATCATGCGTTCGTAATTCGAACAGCTTATTTGATCTTCGCTCATGTGACAAACAAAAGATTTATCTATGATTTATTTTTAGTAAATCAGATGTTGTTGTAAAATGAAACTATTGTGAAATTAACAGAAGACCAGTAAATGTGATATAAAGATATAATATATAATAAAAACATGAGTTCTTAAACACGAATCTAGTAGCAGAGAATGACAAACATGTAAGGGATCAGATTAAAAGATGAATATATTCAGGTTTCAGTGATTCCTATTAACCTGACACTATCAAATACATAGGTTGTATGATTATAACATAAATCGGACTTTTTAAATGAATTATCTGTACATACGATTGTATTATAAACTAAAGTTGCACATTCAGTCGACTGTAGTATCTTACGGGAATTTTTAAAATGGCTAGCAAACTAATACTGAATGATAAAAATCAACAATAACTTTGTTAAAGGTTTCAGTTATTCATCAGATTAACGCACTTCAGTATTACATACATATAGTATTTATTATATAACCATTTACTCTCAGAATGATAAACCAATCGTCAGATAACTATAACCTAGATATCGAGAGATTGCAGGGAATCAATAGGGATTCTTAGACCCAAAATTTGTACTATCTAGCACTAATTTATAAGACTTTTTTGTATTTCTCAGTAAATGTTTCTCCTATGAAATTCAAATACTTGTGACTTGTCAGAGTTCTTAACTCTGTGCTTTATCTGGTCGATTTTTCATTAAACTAGAACCGAGATTTTTGCACTAATTAATAATTGAGCTATATCTATGTAATTAGAATATGCCGCCTGCTTGGCATGCACTATACTTTGATAGTAAGTGGTTAGAAGTAATCAGGATGAAGATTTAACAGTAGTTTTCTTCGCAGTTGATACTCTTCAAAAGACTATTAGCTCTAACAAACTACATTGATTTAATTTATCGCACTTGAATTATCACTATACTTGCCGTTCTTAGTAACCATAAAAATATAATTAATTTACCTTACTCTCAAGATAATTGTTATGCTCGCCGGTGGATATGCTTGAAACTATCACGAGTTCACCTTAGTCGGTAAACGTGAGCTAAGACAAATGATCCAGTGACACGATAGGCTACTCTAATCCGGGCGACTCAAGGCCCTACTAAGAACAGGAAGAAGTGTTGATATAGCGTATAAAGTGTATTCTACAAGCACCCAGAAAATATGAAGTTGACAAGCACACAGATCGAGTTTATTTATACTTGATAGAAACGTCCTTGGGAGAGCCATAACAATAGAGTACTAAAATACTACGTTGACCAATAATAGTCAAGGACTTTCCTATTTGGAAATGTAATCGCAAAGTCAGCTGATCAGCCTATGCGCGAAAACAAGATATCCGTAGTTAGGACCTCTAGCAAGTGAGTTCAAGGGGGATCTAACGTCCCCAACAATAACATACCGGCTCTGAATCCGTTCCAATCTAACAGATATGATATAAGCTTATTTAGTAACTTCAACGATGTTAAAAATGATAACTAAGATTTTTCGCAACTGTTTATTCTAACCACTATGATTAATTACTGTTATTGCAATTAATAAATGATTTATAGACAGAGACAGATCTCAACTTTGATAATCATTTTAAAAATGAGCTTACTGAAGTTCGGAAATTCACTTTTTCTAATTGAACCTTTTCAAAAATCTCTAAACGCTATTCTGTATAAACTGAATGAAATATATCACTAGGTGTAGAGATCAGTTAAAACAAAAGCAAGTTTTTCATTCTGATGAGAAGAAAAAGGTTTATATCACTTTACCATTTAGAGGTGAAGAAAATGGTCTAGTCTTAAGACAGAGACTAAAAGCAGCCATAGAGAACACATACAACGCTGCTAAACTGATTATCATTGAAAAGACCAAGTCCATGATTTCACATATACCTAAACGTTGCTCGAATGATTACATCACATCCCATTGCATTTAACAATTTACATGTTTGTATGGACACACATACATAGGGAAGAGTAATCGAACTTTGCAATCAAGGCTTATGGAACATGTACTTAAGTGGCTTCAAAATAAGTTAATGTCAGATGAGCCGATTAGCGTTGGAAATAGAAAACCATGTTCATCGATCACAAAACACATAATTGAGACAGGGCATAAGATTGAAATCAAGACAACCTTCAAAACATTGTATAGAAATGTTGAAGGACAAATTTTGAGGTTTATGGAGTCCTTGGCTATTAAAAAATTAAAACTCACCTTATGTGCGCAGAAACAATTTGTCATAACCTTGAATCTACTTTGGTAATCTTTAAGCCTAGGGTAATGTGACAATTTTCCTACCCCTTCTTATTCTTTTCACATTATGTTAGTTTTCTCTCTCCTGAATTTACAATTATCACCCTACGTCTATTTGAACTTTTATTTAATTTGCAATATGGGGTTGTGAAGAATGTTACACATTTTTGAAACCATGAATCGATCAATGTTAGACCACCATTAGAAACCTGGAAGCACTGGACGGCCTTTTCGTCTTGGTATGGGACTCCTCAGCAGTGCGCATCCACGACTCCTGCACCTCGCAGGATTCGAACACAGGACCTTCGGTATTGTGCGCGAACGCCCTAACCGTTAGACCACTGAGTCGGTATCCAACGGTGTTAATGTCTAACTTGATCGAATTCACCGAGTTGCGCAACTTCATACACAGTCTTCGGTAGACCTGTTATTCATTTTCATATAAAATGCCTTGACAAGTAAGTATATATGTGACCAGATTGTTCGAAATGTATAGCGAAAATACATCACATTTTTCAGATCTATGACGTCTTTTCACTGTTCTATCATAATTTATAAAATGGACTAATTTTTTTTAAAATATATTTATATACTCTAATTATTTATGGAATTTCATTTTGTCCTAAAAAATCCTATGGACAAACGGATAAATGGTCTTTGATCATTTTTGATCATGTGACACTTTTTAAAACTACAGAATATGTATGTTTGTTTGTTTTTTTATGTGTACACCACATGATCAAAAATAATTCAATCACTTCCTTTTACGTAGATAGAATTGACCAGATTTATTAATAAAACATAACAGTTTTATTAATATCCATTCATTATTCAAATGTACTTTTTGTTTTTTTCTAAAGTTAAGTAGTACTAGTAGTTAGTTCACTAGGGCTGTGAACATGAGATCTGCATTTCAATCATTTGTAAATCAATGCGATTTCATGTAGGTGTTAATATTTTGTGATATTGAGTTTTCAATTTTTTCCCTAGAAGAAATAGCAATTATTTTACATAAGGTAAATTAACTACCGAATACTTTTAGAATGGGATTACTTGCAGTGGCATTTGAAACCTTACCAACTGCTAGTTTCATTTAATCGATTTTCATAACCTTATGACTATATCTTACTTAGTCTGTCGACTTACATTACTGAATGCCAAAGCAAACTGTGTGCACTTACTGAATTGATATTTCCACTTTTCGTCTTGCTCACTTACCCATTCCAGATTCTCTTATACATGCTTACACTTCACACCAATCAATGTCTAAGGGCTAACTACAAACCTGATAAAGTTTTCAACATTGTAATTAAAATTATTGTGAACATTTAATAACTGACATTCCAGCATCTAAAGAAATATGCTTAACATAATCTTTCTTGACACACACACACACACACACTAAAACTTGGTATGAAGAATAATGTTATTTCATGTGTGCATAAATCGATTGATATTAAATAGTTTTAAGAATAGAAAAAATATTAGAAAACATGTATAGACATTTTTGCAATAGAAACTGAAACTCTGATGGTTCTAACTTAATCAGTCATTTCCAATTGATGAATTCAAGTTGAATCAGTTTTAATTAGAAGCTGTTTTTTGTGTTTAAAAATCTTGTATAAACCTTAATCAGTAAGAGTAATAGTTTTCATAAAATAATAACACGTGAACAAACTAAGAAATACCGTTCAGTTATTGTTTTATAGTTTAATGCTTATAAACAGTGTGTACATTAGTGAAACAAAACTATCATAAATTCAATTTGTCAGATACTTTGACAAGTTGAATTTAAATGTTCAAGGATATACAATGATTGAAGATAGATTATTAAGCGCAAATTGAAATCATAAAGTATAACAGCTGCAGTAATTTAAAAATTTCATAATAAGTTCCGGTGATTGGAGAGGACAAGAGCAGAGTTTTGAGCAGATTAAAGTGAATTGATTTTATTTCATTTGGTTCTCATCAGCTGCTTACATTACATTTAAAATCAGTACTACAAATTGGACTGAAATTATTTGCGTGAAAGTGTTTAGTTGAAAGTTGTTATAATCGTACATATCAGTATAGTATAGCAATGGTTTAAAACAAATGCCAACCAGAAAAATAAGTTCTAGCCATTT